CTTATTACCTTCTCTTCCATCCTTTCATCACCCAGATACTGGGCTTCCTGCAGCTGCTTCAAAGCTTCATTGGATAACAGGCTGTAGCTCTCCTGGAGGCATCTGATTTGCTTTTCCATTTCATTTCTCTCATCATCTGTCATTCTATTAAGAAAAAAGAAAAATGGAAGAATGAGATATCTTGGAGCAATTTGTAACCTGCAGGGAGTGATCTGCTTACCCTTACTCAAAAACGGCAGGGAGGGAAATTGGTAAAAGTAGTCTGAAAAAATATAGCCTAATTATGAGGACGCTCAAGAAACCTACAATCTGCTTGTAGTCATTCAGGAAAAGAAACTACATTAATCTAGAATTTATGTTGACTTATCACTAAAGCATTTAACATTTGCATGTGCCTTTGTCTACTGATTACCAGCCAAGACAGGTAACATAGCTAGCAAGGAGTCATGAGATATCTCAGCAATTTAATATCTTAAACAGTCTGATTTCAGACACAGATGAAACAAACTTGTGACATGCAGTTCAAGTACTAATTTATTACTAATTTGTTAATTATTTTGACTTCAAATGAAAATTACTATCTAACATATCTTTCAAGTTCACCAGAGGTATATATACTTAGCCAAATTCTTGACATAAACAAAACTGCACCAAGCTTCCCCAAATGGGAAGACAAAATTATAAAATTAAAGAAAAAACCTGACATATTTGTATGTGAAATGTAATTGGAACTGTAAGATGAGGATATGATTTTAAGCAAACAGTATGTACTGATTCAATTAATTTACATTATTTCAAAAATAAAAAATGGCATACTTGTCACTGTGCTTAGCTAAAAATGACTGAGTAGTCTGCAAAGCTTCAGCTATTTGTTCTTTCTTGGTTGACATTTCATCCAGGGAAATCTGAAAAATAAGCAACTTGTGTTCAAGACTTAATCATGCACATAGATAAAAAGAAAGACAACCAACCAACACAGTAATTCTATCTGGGACTAAACTCAACAGTATAAGAACTTGATTTTTTTTCTTTAAATACTGGTTATTCTTAGAGCGGTATTATTTACTGTGGAATTGTACCATTTACATACGGATAAGTCATTGCGCTATGCCTTTTGGTTAAATAAACTGTCTGTATTAGAAAACTATTGGGTGAGACAAAGAGAATTTATTTTTAAATGTTATTTGTTTGAAAATTAACCAATCACTTATAACCAGTTATTATAGTTGCCACAGTTTAAAGCAGCTCTATAAAGATATGTGTACAATGGTCACATTTAAGAAGTTGCTCACCAAGCTGCGAGAGAACAACTTTTTTAAAAAGCGTACCAGAAGGCCACAAACCTTCAGGAAATTCAATGATGACGACAAATGCAATATCAGACACTCAGAAAAAACAAATTACTTATTAATAGTCTCCCTGCTATAATTTCTGCGTCATCCCCATTAAAGCACTTGTTCTGGCAGAGGAACTTGCGAGAATTTAATCTTTTAACTCTTCTGAGAAACTGCCTGCTGTCTCTTCATAGAAAAGCATTCATTTTGGATAAATAAAGCCAAAGTATCAAAGGGGAGTCTAGGACTTCATTAGCAAGACCAAGATATGTTCAATGTTGGTGCTAAGAGAACTCTAGCAAGGTGCTCAGGCTCTGTATTCAACTGAGTCCGGACACAACCAATTCTGTCCCTGTGTGCATTGTGTCAAAGGGCCTAAACATGGTCTTGAACGGTCTGCCTTTGCCTTCGCAATCGCTGCCAGCAACCCACAATACCACCACTTGGGCTGCTTGGACAGAAACCAAGAGGGCAAACACTGCAGGTATCACACAAGGCAACATCATGAGCAGGCTGAAGTAGCAGGTGGGGTCACGAGCTCCACTTTGCTCGGGGAACTGGCATCTCTGCAGCTGCTGTGTGTGCCCCGTCACTGCTGGCACCAGCTTCTCCACAGACTCCACAGCTACACCCCAGTGCAACCCCAAACCACTGTGTGAAACGTGTTTCAGCTAACATTAGTTAGTCTACATGTTTCTACAAAACTTGTTGAGGCACCTGTGCTAGTGAGTGGAGATACAAAACCAGGCACCTCTAGAAGGCGACGCTACCTTGCCAGGCCGTTTCACAAGGGAAGGAAACACCCTTGGCAAACGCCCATTTCCCACAAGCTGGAGGAAGCCGAGGTGCCTAACTCACAGGTTACTTGCTGAGGGCTCAGGCTGGATGGGGAAGATGCCAGCCATAGTTGCCATGGTAAGCAGAGATGCTCTAAGGAGTTGAGTGCTGGCCCAACGCTGACAAAGGTTTGCACTGTTGTCATTAACAAGGGCTGAAAAAGACCAGTGTTGAATGTTTTTGCAAATCCTGATCCTAATTGTTAGTGATTGAGCAATCAATATGCTTGAATCAGTACAAGTTTACTTCCTCCTATAGATATAGGGACAAACTCAGTAACAGAACTAGTACTGGTCCTCTACGAACGAGCAGTGCACTGGGACTGGTGGCCATTGGGACTGCAGTAGTGACGACTTGCCCGACAGCAAGCTTGATTTATGCACGGTCTGCTCCAGCGGCTCTAAGTGGCACCAGCATGTGTGATCAAAAACACAGGAACAGCCTGCCAGGAGGGCCAAAATCACGTTTGCATGACCGCACACCCAGCCCTGTACTGAGGGATGTAGAAAAGATACTGCTTCGTCTCTCTGCTGCTCAGTGCACAGGTAGACCATCACCTACTGAAATCTTTTTAGGCATCACTAAGCTATTTTGTGGGACAAGCCTAGCAAGGGAGCTGTTAGAAATGACAGGAAATTTCGCAAATGGAAATTTATGGTCCGAGTTACAACCGTACACAACAATGTACCTGTTAAATACAAAGGCGGCAAGACTGGGCCACTCCAGCAGCCAGTGGACTAGTGTGATAATAAAGAGGGTTCAGTCAACACCTGCTGTATTCCCTCAGACAGCAGTTTCGACTATCGCGTAAGGGGACTCCTCAAAACAACTTTTTAAAAGCAAATAAATAGAAACCTGGCCCTCAGGCCCCTCCTGCCAACTCTCTCCTTCCTGGTGCCAGGGTAGAAGTTACCAGACTTATTCACAGAACTATTTCAGGATGAGGGGGCAGACCTACGAAGTGCCATCCTGCCAGGATGCACTGTCCCTCTATAAAGACTGAGTTACAGTCTGCAGGGTCTACTTTTTCTAAAATGGCATTCTGCAGTATCAGAATACATCACACACCAGGCCTGTAAAAAGCAGCTTGCATTTCTTCCTGAGTAATATGTTTGTGTCCCTAAAGGTTGATGTTCATTTACCCAACCCTCTGCTCACAACCAAATGTGAATTTACATCTTTAGTAAAATGTGGATGGTGATTTGAAGAAAAAAGTATTTGTGGAATATTTTGTCATTTTAATCAATGCAGAAAGCTAAGAAGAGGAAGTGGTATTTTGCCAAAAGGCATCTGTGTACCTGCTGCTTAGGCAAATCTGTCTTTTCAGCCTTTTCTCCTTCTTCTTTGCTGAGTGTCTTGCTGAGGTTTGACACCCATTTCAGTAAATCCCCAGCTTTCTCAACATGTTCCTTCTTTTCTTCTTCCACTGACTTCTGACGAGCACCGCGAATTGTAAAAAACATGTAAATATAAATTGTTGGAATATTTAACATGAATGTCCACAGAAACACAATTCTACCACAATGGCAGTATTATCACATAAACATAATGCAATTTCTTTTTATTTACCACTGCATGCATTACTATGACACTTTGATGTAGGAACAAAAATGTCACATAATTATAGACATTAACAAAATAATTCCTCAAATTATTTATAATTATGATTACGGTGCTTATTCATACACATGTACATTCATTATAAAACGACTGATATTAAGAAAAAATATTGCTTCCCAGCCACTACTCAGCAGATAAAATCTAAACAACATTTGCATATAAAGTACTTTTGAATTGCTGCCTTTGCATTACCCTCAGGTGTGGATATGTGCAGCCAGCATAGGCTATCAGTATTTTGCAATCCGTGCACATGGAATACTAAATTATAATTAGGAAGAATACATTGCTTTTATGTCTACAGAAACAAGAACAATAAAAGTAATATACTGAGACATTTCATCTTTTTCTGCACAGGAAAATACTTTTCTTTTTATAGTAGTACAGTCTGTTAGTAGTTTCTAATTTATCAATACTTAGAAAACACGCTTAAGCCCTTCCATGTATCACAAGTAAAAATGAAGACATTTTATTTCAATGGAATTTTTAAAAATTTGATATGTAATTGGAATTCATTTGCCTCTTACAGCATGAAAATAATTCTAAAAATAAAAATAAAAATTGTTACCTTAAGTGATTGAAAAAATTAGGATATGTAACTTTATGTTGTCAGTAGCCCATTAAAATAAATACCAGTGTGAGAAAAATTACTTACGCGTACGCATTTACTGGACTGCAGATTTAACCCTTGTATACTTTATTGCCACTCTGCAGATATCATTTATTTTACAAAACTGATTTGTAATATTAAATTATCGGGTCACATGAAATACTGCACCATCTTCATTTGCAAAACGGGCAATCCCTTTCAATTTCTAATATAAGAATCTGATTCTTGTCTCACCTAAATCTACCCGTTTTACACTAATGTTAACTTCACTAACCTCAGTATAACTTCTAATTTACACTATCTACATGTAGATAATGTCAGACAAGGCCTTCAGGTAAAGACTGAACACGCAGTCTGCATTCTGAAATTATGAATCTGCCTAAGTTTATCTATAAATTTCAACTTTGTAAGAAGTAGTATCTAATTCCAATTTTAGTAGTTTATACTAATTAGTGGTTTGTACTAATCAGTTTTACAGTAATTCATGATTACATTAGAAAACACCATTTATGATTTTCCATGAAGGCCATCGTAGATCTTTTTCCTTGACTCGAATAGGTTTTAACGCAAGCCCTGAAATAAGTACTAATATCTTTCTTCCATCATGAATTATAGTAAAGACTGGAAATTCCCACCTTCATGGGCTGAGCTGCTTCTAACAATCGCAGCCCAGTGTGGCAATCAAAAACGGTTCTCTCTAAAGCTTCCTTGTAGGTTAACTTCTTCTTCGTTTTGGGGCATGTTATAACTTTAACATACAATTTTTCATCTTTCATCTTTGTAGCTGTGACAGCATCAATAATACCAATCTTAATTGCATCTTCCATTGTTAATCTGGAATGAGACTTTGGATCTATCAACCCACCAGTCAAGTACTGATACTCCAGGCAGCGCATGCCCATTTCTTTATCTATCGCATTTAAATGCACAGCTTCAACAGCTGACATAACTGTGTTCCTTACAGGGTGAATGATCCCAGTGAAGATTAGTTCACACTGCTGGATTTGCTTGGCACAGCCATCATCGATTAACTCCCTTTGCAAAGCTTCTGACACACTGTACTTTTTCCCAGTAAACGGATCAATTATGCCTCCTGTACTAACCTGAGCTTCAAGACATCGGAGGGCAGTAATTCTATCTACTAAGTTTTTGCGTGAGGCTTTTAAGACTGGAATTCTTTCATTGGTTTCAGAAAGCCAGAACCCTGCAATAGGACTGTTTAAATCTTTATTTGCCTGTGAACTGCTAACTAAAATATCACCAAACTCATTAGCTGTGATTAAACCCTCCTTATATTTATTGATTAATGCTCTGCCAATTCTACCCTGATTTAAGGTCTCCTCGATATTAAACTGTACACCGGTTTTAAGATCTGTAAGCAAAAGAAAAGAATTCCCATCAGAGTCAAAACAAGTAGACTCCTTCCAATCAAATTCCTGTTTTGAAAGCTCGAGATATGTAGCTTTATCAACACAATTTTTTAGATAAGCCTCGTACGAGGTCATTTCTGCTCCTGTTTTGACATCTACTACAGAAATTTTATGACTTTTCTCTGGTGATGGGCTGGTTATTTTCCTTTCACCAACTGGAAGTAGAAAGCATTTACTGCTTACACTGAACAAACACATTTTCAGCAAATCACAGTAGTATACAGCTTTCCTGTTGTTTGGATTGTGAAAACATTTCGCATTACTAGAAGGTTCATGCAAAAACTTTAAAATTGTGTTATTAAGCAAGCCAAGATGCACAGCGGTTTCCGGAGGTACACGAACACTTCTTACAGGATCAATGACCCCCCCACTTGCAATTTGAGCCTCAAGGATATTTTTACCTTTTTGTCTTTCTAAGAGTCGAGCTTCCATAGCCTGATACACAGAGATCACTTTCCCAGAACAGCAATAGCCCAAAACAGCTTTCTCTGCCTCAAGTAGTCTACTCTTGAATTCATTATCTGCAAGCCCTCTAACAACTGAATCATCAACAGAGAATTTCTGACCTGTTGTGGGATCAATGATGAAACCAGTAGCTGCCTGGGCCTCTAAAAATGCTAATGCCAATGCTTTTCCTATGATTCTTCTCTTCCCTGCTAAAGCAAAAGAGACTACCTCCTTGCTGGATTCAAGGTACAGCCCAGCTATAGCTGTAGGTTTAGTCAAAAATTTTTCAAGACTTTTCTGAACCTCATCAATAGTTTTCTGCCCTGAACGGAGCTGCTCAACTGTGAGCCTGTCTAGAAGTTTAACTTCAGTCAACTGTCTGGCAGTTACATTATGTCGGAGACCTTGAAATTTAATATCATCATATTCCTCTGTAAAATATTCCGACTGCATAGCATCATCAACAGTTTTCAAAATCTTTGCAAAATCTTCTTTCCTAAACCCTTCAGATGTTTTGTATCCCTCAAACATTCTCTCTTCGTTACCAAAAGTCTTGTCATTTTCTTGGTTTAATGTTGTGACTTCAACATGCATGTCATACTGCTTGTTCTTCACTATCTGTAAATAGGAATTTTTTGACACAGTGAGAAATACATCTGCAGAACTATGCTGTACATAATTCACTCCTAAATCCACCACCAGAGAAACAAAAGGGAGAACTTGAATTAAGTCAGAAAGGAGAACTGCTACTAGCATTGGAGAGCAGAGAAATATAGCTAGCTAGAGTTTTAAAGTGCATTTGCCATTTCAAATATTTATTCAATAACAATATGACTAGATTAAGCAACAGTAACTGTTGTTTGTTACTATACAAACTTAGTGCAGTTAATCAAAGTTTATTTTGACCAACAATGATACAATAGTGTATGTGAATTCCTATTTCTATAAACTTTTAAAATAATGTTGTTTCTTAGATATTAACAAACCTGCTACAAAGGTCTAATGAAAAGCTTTTTGTGTTATGTAAGAATGAAGCAGTTCCCCTCACCAAGGTAAGAACATAAGAAACATTAGAGAGAATACAGAATAGTGATAAAGTATAACTAAAACCAACCAACCAAATAAAAAAATAGAATAGTAAAAACCAGCACTAGGAAGGCAAACTCTAAGAAAACATAGTGTGTACCTCCAAGGGATGCAGTTTTACTACTCCTAATTCATGTTTTGTGTCTTCACCATGTCTAATAGTTTGTCTGTAACTGTGTAGCTTCCTGTTTCTCAATTTGTCCCTTTCAGATGTTCCAGAGATTTGGCTTGCTTTATCAAAAGTTATTTGGAACTGTGTACTCATTTGAGAAACAAACTCTGTAAAAGATTGTGGGCCTGAATCTTCTTCTAGGGTTTGGTTTATTCTTGACATCTGGACCTGCACCTCTCTCGGTATTGTATCATCAGCACTCACATACAATGTATTGTCTTGAATTTGATTAGATTTAAAACCTGATCTCTCCTCTTTCTGTCTTAACAAAGGTGAGCTAGGTTTTGCATGTGGAGGAAGCTGTTCAAAGTCTCTAGCTGCAGTGTCACTCAGGTCATTCCTTCTTCTCTCACAGTTCAATTTAAATCCAGAATCTTGGAGTTTATTATTTTGCTGAACTTCATTCTGAAACGAAAGAAACCTGTGTTCCCCCTCGCTGACCTGCAGATCCATTTTCTGTTTCAAGCTCTCAACTGTGCACTTCTGAGCTTCCAATTCTTCCTCAAGTTTCCTGCACTTCTGGTGATAGTCCATTTCAGCCTGCTTCCCTTGCTGTAGCTGCTCGTGACATTTTTTAAGCCTTTCTTGCAGATCTTCCATTTGTATCTTGTACAACATGATGTTTTCCTCAGTCTGCTGAAGAGCAACACATTCTAGTTTTATGCCAGAAATGTCCTTTTCTGTAATGCTATGGGATTCCAGTAGTTTTTCAACTTTTTTCCTGAATTCCTCTGCAGAGTGTTTAAACTTAATGGATTCTTCCTGAAACAGAATCATCTTCTTGTGTGCCATTTGTTCATCCAGAGTCTTCTGATGGAGTTCATCCTGTAATTTTTTTAATTTATTACTTAGCTCTTGTATATGAGATTGTTGTAGTTGTATCTTCTGCTCACTCACTCTCTTTTCCATAGTTAGAGCATTCACTTGGGCATTTAGATTTTTAACCTCCCGGTCAACGGTTAAGGTGGAAGCACTTTGTTTATCCCATTTCTGTTTATATTCACTAGCTAAGTCTTTTGTTTTTGCTAGATCAACTTCTAGGCTTTTGATTTTACATATGAATTCTTGCTCAATTTTTGTTTGCTTGTGCAATTGTTCATTTGTTGTACGTAGTTGCTCTTTGAAACCATCAGCTAGGGCTTTTAATGCATCATTTTTCCTCTGAATACTTTGTTTTTCCAAAGTTGTCTTCTCTGATTCAGATTGAATTTGCTTCATCAATAGTTTTGTTTCAGTATTCCATTTATTAAGGTCCTCTATCTTTTGTTTCAATGTTTCTGACACCTGATTACTTTTGGCTAATTCATTCTTTAGCATCTGAATTTCCTGCTGGTTTTCTTTTTCTACTTTTGCTTTTTGAAGCAATTGTTCTTGAATTTTCTTACATTGGTCTTGAAGATTATTTGCTTCCCCTTTGCATGACTGTGTTCTGTGTTCAGCAGCCAGCTTCTCTTTTTGAAGAGAACTGATTTGTGAATTTAAGTGTCTGATAGTGATTTCACTTTTTGTCTGTGATCTAGTTAATTCCTCTACTTCTCTTTTTAGCTGTGTCTTTTCTTGTTGAACAGATTTCAGCTCCTCCTGATAGTTCATCTTAATTTTCTTAAGATCTATAGCTTCTTGCATCACTTCTTCAGCTTTACCCGTGGTTCTATGTAGCTGCTTGTCCAGTTCTTTCAACTGTTGCAAATATCCCTGCTCTACTTGGTCTTTTTCCTCCAACTTAATTTTTAGGTATTTAACATCACTATAGACTTTATCCAGTTTTTCTTTTAATAAACGAGACTTCTCTTCTGTTGATGATTTCTCAAGCTCAATTTCATTCAGTTCGTATTTCAGGTCTTTAATGGTTTTATCAGCTTTTTTGTTAGCAAGGGTTAGCTCATCTATTTTCTGTTTAAGATCTTCTACTTTTTTGGCTTCTTGTTTCTTGTGGAAACTTGTAATTTCAGAACCAGTCCTACACTGGCTGCCTTGCCCAGCCGTTAAAGTTGCCAGGGGAGTTTTTCTAGTTACAGAGTATCTGCCTTCAACCCCCCCCTCCTCGTCCCCCCTCCCCCAGCCGTTAAAGTTGCCAGGGAAGTTTTTCTAGTTACAGAGTATCTGCCTTCAACCACCCTCCTTCTAGTTTCAGCTCGCTCTCCTTCTTGCAGCTTTATTTCTGGTAGGTTCCCTTTAAATTCAAGATCTTGTTCCATTTGCTTTATCAGTTTCATAAGTTTCTCCTCTCCTTCCATTTTTTTCTTCAGTTCCTGCATTAAGGTTTTTTTTTGTTGCTCTAAATCATGAAGATTAGTATCTTTTCTTCTCAGATGCTCTTCAAGGTTTCTTCTGGTAAAGGTGCTTTCTTCTATTTGATTCCGAAAAGCATGGAGGTTTTCTTCCAGTATACCTCTTTGAGTCTCTGCCTGAAAAATGAGCTGCCTTGCACACTCCAGCTCCTGCTCTGTGTCCGCTTTCTCTTTTGCAATGCTTTCTAGATCTATACGACACTGCTTTGCCTCTTGTTCAGCCTTGGTCTTCTGAAGACAGATCTCTTCCATGTCCTTTTGCTGCTTCTTCCGCTCTTTTTCTGCAGCTTCCCTCACTTTAGGGAGCTCCTGTTCCACTTGGAATTTTTGTTTCTTCATATCCTCCAACATCTCCTCAAGTGCTTTTACCCTTCCCATGAGTTTTCTGTTCTCATCAATTGTGCTATTTTGCTGTGCCATCAGATCTGAATATGCCTCACACACTGATGCTTCCTTATTCTTTAAAATCTATAAAAGAATGAGATAAGTTGGAGTGTACTTTTTGTAATACAGCACATGAAACTCATTAGGCTCTTTGAAAAGTAGAATGGAAAATACTTACTTATATATATACGGTATGTCCAGAAAGTAGAACGAGCAGTTCCCACCACCAGCACCTTCTCTTGAAGGCTTCCAGAAGTTACCATTACCCAAATATGAAACCCTTCATAAAGACATCCACAAAGTGAAGAAGTCCTGAAGCCTCTCACTTCAGTCAGATGCCTCTTAGAGGTAAGCAGTGTCAAAAAACAGCTTGCATATGCTTTTTCTCCAAACAAACAGGTAGAGTAAACACTGAGCCAAACAGTATGTGCAAGAATTCCCGAGGAGAAAGTGGCCTACCATTTCCGGATCAAATCAGTAGGAACTGGAAGAAGGATTTTATGCTTGCAAGCAAAAATAACACAAAAGAAGTCTGGAAATCCCCTCCAAGAAAAGTAACAGTATCTAGAGCTAAAGCCAAGATGCATCATATCCAGAAAGAGAAGTATCTAAACTCCAGTACATCTATGCTCTGTAGTGTGCTCCACAGTCCCAGTGCCTCCACTGGCTCAGCTGGGGGACTAGTAAGAGCACAGCTGTTCTGCAGTGTAGACACAGTCAGAAGTATAAACATGGTAATTAGGAAAATCCTAGTGGAAACCAGTCAGCTAGTAGTCTCCGTATGTTGGCAGATCAAGGGAAACTCTTATAAGCAAGATGTGTATTCACCAGTAATGGCATGGTTGAAACCACACATACCTTGTCTTCATTACCACTTATTATGGTGTTAGTTACCAAATGTGAGTTAACATGAGGTAAGAACACACCTATATTCCTATGATCATACAAACATGACATGAAAGGTAATTATAGTAACACTTTCAAATAAACAAAATGTTGGTTTAGGTCCATTTTCTGTATGATACATGAAACTTATTTCCTAAAAGGCTAATGCAAAGGCAGCTTCTTCAGTTCCTCCCTGTATTTCCTGTGCCACAATTTCAAACTGACCCCACCGGATACAAAACATTTAAATTGGTTTCTTATCAGATCTCCTTTTATGCTCCCATAGACACAAAATCTAGTGTATTATGCTTGAAAAAGAAGAACTAAAAATACACATACAGTCACAAACTATGTCTTGTTAGCTTTCATTATTTTTAATCGACACGGTTGTGTATCAGCTCGGTGGAGAAAAGGATAGTAATTAAATAGTAATACAAAATAAACATAAAAATAGATTTATAAAAACTTAAAAAATTTAAGCATCTCAAAATGCACAGTAATTAATATATCATTAGCATATTCATTGTTTCAATTATGTTCAATCAACTTTAAATCACTTGACCTTGACAAATTTTGAGATTCAAATGTTGATTTAGATTGGTTTAGAATCATTCTTAAATTAACTGTTTCACTTGCACTGCATAAAAACTCTGGTACCTTAATAACAGTTGTACTCCTTTTCTCTTCATTATCATTGCCTCTTTTTTTTTGCTTTCTTTTTTTTTCAAGTAAGGTTTTTTCCCCTGTTTTTTCACAGAATGGTTTCTGGAGTTCAGCGTTTTTCCCAGCTACCTTTGTGCTATGACCCTTATCTCTACTGTCCATTTCTGCAACTAGCAATAAATCTTTACATTTCTGACCCTGTTCTAACTTGTATTCTCCACTCTGCTTCTCCACGCTTATATTTATGTTGTCCAAACCACAAATTTTACCCTGTGGTATCTTCTTCTCATTTACTTTCTCTTCGTGACTCAAAAGCTTTTTTGCTAAACCATGTTCTGGTAATGGAAAGTAATCCTGTCCTCCATAAATAATTTCTGAGAGGGCATAAATTGCATTTAAATCACCAGCACTTCCTAACAATTCTGTTCCTAATCTTGGATCACTGTGTGCTGGTGACACTACAAAATCTAATGGATAAGATTCAGATACTTTTGCTGCATACCGATTCTCTGAAATATTTCCTGAAGAAACAGCCAAAATTTCTTGCATTGTACTGTTAGCTTCATTCAGATTTAAATTTGATTTTTCTAGGATTTCGTTTTCTGCTATGAAGTAACTTTTATCCAGAGATGCTCTGTGCAGTTTGTTTGTATCCCTTTCAATACAATCAGAAATGCCTGGATTGCTCACAGATTGCCAATTTAACTTTGTTTTTTCACTTCCATTGTACACTGCCAGCTCTCTGAAAGAGGTTGGAACTTTCTCTAAAGGTATTGCATCCCTTACACCCGAAAGAAAGTCGCCTTTTTCACCACACGCTTGACATTCTCTGTCTTCAGACTTTGAAGTACTATGCCTATTACTTTCTGCAAAGCAATGTTCTTTATGCTGACATTCAGAATGAGTTCTTGGTGAAAAACGTTGCTGCTTGTAAGGGTTGATATCCAGGGCATGCTTTCCAGTTTTTGGAGTAACTTCATCTTCCTTCATTGTTAGCTCAACATTAGTTTCTGACAGCATCTCACATTCTTCCTTTGTTGCAACATGACTGCCTGCCTTTCTTGAAAATTTTTTTCCTGTGGTTTTGTCTATCATTTCCACTTCGGGCAACTTCTTTAATACTCCCTCTTCTTTCTGTCTCTCTCCATTAAGATTTGCTCATTTAACATTTCACCAGGATCATTATTCACACTCACACAGATCTCAGCTGAAACAAGACAACCTTTTCTACCATTTTCTTCTTCTTTACTTTGATTTCCAAAACCCATCAAATTTTCTTGCTCTCTATGTAGCTTATATTCTCTGTGACCACTGAAATTTGAAGGTTGCTTTAACAATCTATCATTTTTAATTTTATCATATCTGTCTACATCTGATTTTATTCTGTCAATTTTCAATTTATTTTCTGTATGTTTAGGTTTACTGGAATAGTTATCTTTTCGCAGATATTCCACATCCATCATGCCTTCATTAGGTGTGTTTTCCTCCCTGAATTCAACAGCTTCATTATATCTCAAATGTTGAAAGACTTCAGCTGACTTCACAGATTGCTGGAGTTCACTCTCTTCTGGTAAGCTCTGAGCATGACAGCACATGGATTAAACCAAGATATCATGGAAAGCATCTTACTTTTTCCTTATTCTGTGCATTCTTAATGCCATTACTGGGAGTTAGGAAGAAAGCCTGGCATGGAAGAAAGTCTTGGAACAATTACAGACTTCAGAGGTCTGATCCCAGAAGGAAAAAACCCTATCATTCCTGTTTTGAAAAGGATTATTCATTTTCTGATTTGCTACCCTGATTACAAAGAAAAAATCCATCAAATCACTTTCAGACTGGAAACCTACTTAGGTTATCTTCAAAGAAGCTATCAAAGATTTAGAAGGCTGCTGGAAGGTGGAGGAGGATGGAAGATGGGGGGTGTTCGATTTCCAAAAAAGCAGTCCTGGAGATTCAGAGCAGATTGAAACTCAAAAGAGTTTAAAAGATTGCATTTTCTCTTGAAGAACATGAAGCCTATTGGCACTCACAGGTTTCTGAATTCTTGTTTCAATTCTTGTTCTTTGTTTCACTTTTTATCCTTGATATCATCAGCATTATTAGTCATACTAAATCCTCAGTTATAATGGCTATTTATCAACATTATATATTTCCATCAGTATGCTCCATCACTTCATGATGCACAAAGACACATGCTCTTAGTATTAGTTTGTCCAGAGGTATTCAACAGCAAGGAAAGTCAATAGACAAAGCCAGCACCAGGATTATGTAACATTCATTTAAGAACTTTTTTTTTTTTTTCTGTAATAAAAGCATTAAAATCTACACTCATGACAGTGTTCTCCAATTTTATGTCATTTATATAGGACTACATTTAATATGGCACAACTAATTTCAGGACTACATTTGCTATGGGCATTACTTTAGACATAAGCACTGTAGAGATTATACCAGAACACTGTAGTTCTTAAAGAATGACTATATAATCTCTTTCAGAGAGAAACATTTCAAAAGCAAGTGAAGAATTTTAAAGTATTTTTTTCTCAATTATTTGGAAGGTTGATTCTGCAGCAAGCACGTATTTTGAGTAATTTGCTCAATTTCAGTAACCTAGTCTTGTTAATAACATTCAACACTAAGCATAAATAAAATGCTGTTTGATCCCAAGGAATCAATACAGTAGAAAGGGAGAAGGAAAAAATATTTAAACATGCCAGAGAAACTTAAGAAATTAATTGAGAGGGCATCACATCTCCCTGTTTAAAGAACTCTCTTATATGTTGTTAAGTGGACCAGAATGTATACTACGGAATATTATGGCCTAGATAGGATATCAACAGCGCATGCACATTGTTTGCCCTCCATCTTAACGTCTGTATTTATCCAAAAGATCAAGCCCTAAAATACTGAAGTATTAAAATGTACTGTAAGTAACTACATCTCCATCAGAATACAGCGAATCATACGGTCCTTCTAGCTGGAAGAACTGGCAAAATGTATGGATGGTATAGGATTTTGCTTATCTGAATGATAATGGCATAATTTAACACTCCTACATTCCTGTATAAAATGCAGTAAGTAAGGCATTTTAGTCTTTCTTATCTGCTGCTAACTTTGTGAGTAATTCCAGCAGGTATATTGCACTTTGTTTGCCTAGCTGCTCTTTTTGCTTGGTTGGCTGCCAGGGGATGACCTACCTCTTCCTCTTCCAGTCTTTTCAAAGAGTCACCTGCAAACTTAATGTACTGGGTCATCAAGGTCACTAAGGCAGTATAACGAGTTCGTAAATCCATGAACTGTTGAGAAACAAGGTGGGGAGGGGGGGAGAGAGAGAAACACTCCCATTAACCTTCAAAGAAGTGATCAACACTACTCTAGAACCTACCCCGATTGTGATTGCAAAATCCTGATTGTGGAATCCAAAATCCTAATTTTGATTCCGAAGTTGAATGACATCAATAGGGTGCACTTGCACAAATAAATCCTAAGGATCTATAAGGAGATCCATAAGGAGAAGAAAGAAAAGACAATGTTTTGATTTCACAGTCACTTGGTTCTTCCCTCCAGTAAGAACAGCTTGTAAGAGAAGAGGGACAAGCAGTGCTGGTCACTACTCCTCTCTCTACCAGTTAGCAGGGAGAGAGATTTACCTTTCCCATCCAAATGAAGCTGATTTGTCTTGGAATCTGTCAAAGTGTCCAGATCTGGTAATTTTTACCATAGCAAAGATGAAAGCTCCTCCTGTTTACTCTGACCAAGATTCAGCCCAGAGGTAGTTCTAAACTGTTTTACTGAGGTACATTTCTCATTAGGCTTTTTATAACTTGGGGGATTTTTGTTCATCAACAGCAATATACTGTCTCATTATCTAAATGCTGCATAATGACCAATAGGATATTTATCACATCATACATCTACAGAGAAAAAAAATAACCTTGCTTGGGTTACCGTATTTAATCATTAATAAATCCTACATCCTATTCTTGCATTCACTCTGTTTTAAGCAAAGACTCAAAAAAACATGTTATCCTGTCATAAGAAATCCATTTACCTCTTGAAGAATGAAGTCTGATGAGCTTTGCATTCTTCGGCGTTTCACAGGAGATTTCTGTTGGGAGTCAACCATAGCTCTGTAGGTCATAGTCTGCAACTCATAGTCCTGTAAAAAGAGAAAATACACAAAATGTTTTCCACAGGACATTGACACTAAAAAAAGGATTCTAAGTATAACATTATTTATTACCTTCACAGCAGCTGAGTATTGTTCTGAATACTTCTGGCATTCATCTATTTTGCTTTGTTTCATTTCAATCTCAGAAACCAGCATCTATAAAATATGAATCTACATCTTCATCTTAAAAAGTGACTTTTATTATTATTATTATTATTATTATTAGCATTTCTACTTTATCTAACATCATGAAATTTACATAATATGCTCATTTCCTCGTGTGTACAAATAATTACATACTCAAGCCCATGTCCTGGCTTTGTCAGGCTTACAGAAGTAGCAAAAAAACCCTGCCAGGTTTAATAGCCGGTGAGTGAACTTAAAAAGAAATTAGGAATATACTACTCCATGCATATAATTTGTTATCTGTTTCTTATTTAAGCTGCACTTCTTTCTTGCAGGAGACAGTTGAGTTTAGCTCTCCTTCCATGAAAATATTTCTATGTCCATAAATACCAAGAGCAGTATTGAATAAAAAAATTATGTGATAAGGAGAGTCCAGAATTTTAGGCACTCTCTAAGGTTTTGCTTTTCTTGCAGATTTGAGGACCAAAACAATCGGGTTTATACAATGGCAACAGTCAGTGAGTGATATATTCATGATCTTAGCTGCATTATAAATATAAAACCATAAAAGCCGGTGATGACTTGGAATTTTACAGTAAGGGCTGAGGGATATAAACACCTCAAATGAAGAAATAAGACTGACATCACTGGGTTAAACTGATATTTTAATTCTTCAGTCATTACAGCAGTGCTTTTCTACAATGAAATCCCTTTCATACCTTATGTTGGTTCAGCTGTTTAGCCAATGCTTTGCTATTTTCAGGATGGATTTCTTGAATCTTTCGTTGAGTATCTTCCACTTGTTGAATCCAAGTGTCCAAAGAATTGTAAGTATCTTTGTAATACTTCAGAGATTTATTAATACCTTCTAAGTCACGCAACCTGATTTTATTTTAGAAGATAAGCCAGACGGGATAAGATGAATATTAAAGATAAAAAGTACAACACTAAGCCAAATACAGCTTTAAACGCTTCAGATGCCTTAGCTCTATTATAGCTCACACTGTAAACATACTAAAATAACACTAAATAAACAGTAAATTAGCTTCTCAAAAACCAAGATTCCCAGCTTGATGAAGCCTTTTCATTTGCCATAAATGACACCCAGGAGAGATCCTGCTACAGAAGAAACTCTGCATATATCCTTCATTAGTGAGCTAAACTGCTTGACTCCATGAGCACAGGAAACCCCAAGCAAGAGGGAGGGCTCTGCAACAGCAATTAATTCTGTTGTAAGAAGTGACAGCATTTCAAATGTGACCTATGTGAATCAAGGAAGAGTGTGCTGTGCTGTGCTGGAGTTAAGTGGTGGTTCACCATACTCTCTGTGCCTCCCACAAAACAATAGGAGTCACACTAAAATATTCTTTAAATATCTTTAAATACAGTATTTAAATATTCTAATGCGTGAAAGCAATTGATTCTGTAAGTCCATTTTTAAATCATGGTTTTGACCTGAAAAGAGAGTGCTGTGTATTTCTTGAAAGTAGTTTCCCTACTGATGAGAATACTGTCAGTTCTTCTTTCATGATCCTTATAGTGTTACTTCAAAGATCATATAAATATGACCACCTCAAAACACTGCAGGATAAACATACTTATTAAACAATTTTTTATAGTTTGACTTGGAATGAATACTTTGAATCGCCCTAGTGCTGTTCTCAATATGCCAAAACAAGACTGAAAAGAGCAAGCAAGGGAAACTGTATTGCTTAGGTTTCATACTTAAGCATGTTTAAAAGCTAATAACTGTGAAAAAGAGAAAGGATCGTAACAGCAGCCCAATATTTATACATACATTTTGTATGATCATCAGTGTTAAGCTGTTAGGAAGCAGCAGAGCAAACATTTGCAGAAAGAAGCTTGTTTACAGGTCCATGTTGCAACTACCACAATCTGTCCTATATACACTAGAAGCCACTATATATTAACAGTCATTTTTCAGCATCTCCTATTCACAGTACAGTACTGTGAGGACAGCATATGGTTCATGTTTGCTCTCTGAGGAAATAAGGACACTTCAGTCTCTCATAAAACTACTGCTTTGTCATTTAACTTATGCCACGTTATCAAACAATGAAAAATCTGAGGTGGATTTAAAGCTAGTCATTCTGCAGTCAGCTTTAAATGAGTCAGCTTTTGCCCATCTTCCTTTTAACTTCCAGCAATGTTAGAGACAGCTAAACTAGTTAACTACAAGTGAATAACTTCAGTATTGCACCTGAATGGATATTCACCCCTTAGAAAAGGAGGACAAAAACGTGAAAGGTTGTTGTGTGAACTTTTACACCAACAGCACTATTTTTGATGTTCTTGTTCAGGTTTACCTATAATGACACACTAAAGTAGATTTTAAAGAAAATAAACTCAGGCTGTGTAGTACAGACTTCTTTAACTTGTCTCCTTTACATATATGAAACAGAACTACAGAGACTGATAGAAAAAGTATTTCCAGGAATGTCATGAATGGACATCTGCTTCAGAATTACGGGTAGGTGTGTTCTGCTGTATCTGCACATCTGTGTAGGCATGTGCATTTCAGTAACGTTTGCCCGTATCATCCTGACAGTAATACTGAAAGGCTGAATTTAGAGCAACATCTCAACTGGATATTGAGGCTGCAAAAAAACAGTCGCACACCAAAAGAAAATACCAGCACTTCACCAAAAGTTATTGTGACAAAATTATCACAGAAGTCAATGGAAGCTAAGGACTTCCAGATCTAGCACTGGAATCTTCAAGAGCAAGTTAACATGAATCCAATCATAACTGAGGAATCAGTTCATCAGTTTAGCCTGTCAGAACTAATTATGTGAAGAAACAGATGGTATCTCCATAGGACAGCAAGGCATTTCTGCAGGCTTTTTTTTGTTGGGGGGG